TGTTTAATTGTTAGTATAATGATACTTATTTGTTCATGAGTCATATGAAGTACTCCATCTATTTCAATCATATGCTCTCTTATTATTGTTGTTCCCTACATGTTAACCTAGTTGAAAGTATTAGTTCAAAATGCAAAAAACACCGAAAATCGTGCTACTAGTGTGCCATTGTTGTATAACTATTGTGCAACTATAGTGTAGAGAGGTATTGGATATAATACCTAGAAAGTTTTTTGGAAGCCACTTACGTAATGCGTAAGAATTTATAGTCAACACCTGATTTTGGTGGTGTTTGGCAATTGGCTGTTGGCTGAATATGTTGGCTGATTGATGACAGCGGATTCTGTTGGTTGTTTTGATTAGCTGATAATGTTAGCTGCTTATAAAACAGTGTTTGGTTATACGGATGTTCACAATTGGTTGATAACTTGTTAAATTACTTTTAAGGACATCAATTATTATTTTTTGTTTATTAACTACTTTTATATATGTTTCACACATTTTGCTAATATTATTAATACAACTACTTAATCCGACCAAGTACCTTGTAATCTGGCGACATCAATGTGAAACTTCTAAAGAGGATGTCACAAGTTCGAATCACATCCCAGTTCAAAGATGTTGGTCTTAGCATAACAAATATTATAATAGGTTATAAAGATTTGCCAAAAAAAACTACTTAATCCGTTTTTATCTAATACAAATAAAATTTTATTAACACAAGTAACAATTCGTTTCAACGTTGTTTTTAAACACAAATAACACGTTTTTTTTGGCAAGACAAATAACATTTGTTTAATAAGTGATTATCTTTAATTAATAAATGGAATAAATAAAAAATATACAACGAAAAATCCCTGTTTATTGACAAATGGAATAATGAGTACTCCATCCAACAACAATTGTCAGCATAGTTGGGTTTGCTCCACCCTGTATTGTTTGGTCGTAAGTATGGAAGACGAACGCAAGGGAGCAGTGCAGACACAATTGTAATTTGCGATACATATTCAAACGGCCAAAGTCTCAAACACTATGTTTACCGGCTTTTCCCATTTTGGCTGTTTGAGATAAAAAGCCAAGTGAAATAGCTAATTAACCAAACACCTCTATTAGCTGTTTATCTGGTCAAAAAGCCAAATAATGATCAAATGAGCCAAAAAATGGCTGATAGGCCATTAACCAAACACCCCCTTTACCTTGGTGGCAAAATTAGTTCATTAAGTTGTTGAAGTAGTTTATCGTATAAAAGTATACAAAGTAGTAAAACGGTGTGTACATCTGCTCTATATATGCTAAGTTTATGAAAGTGGAACTTAAGATTAAAATATATAAAAATAAATAAATATAAATCCTATCATTCAATGCATTAGCCCTTTTTCGTGTTATTCTATTTGTTAAGTTGTCAAGTGTGATGATTAGGAGTGTGTATGTCAGGCACAGCCGCACAAGCGTCATCAATTTGGATTTTAATACTATCATTCAAAATACATGTACGTTTGTGAATATTTCTATTTACATGACATTAATCTTGTGATCATAGCCGCTATGCGAGGATTTTGTTGTGCTGCAAGGAAGACTCTGCTCCAAGGAACCACCCATGTGTCTCACTATGAGAGTACTCATTCGGGGTATATTTTACTTCATGTGATTCATTTCTAACTCTTAGTCTTAACTTTGCTAATGGTGTTATTTAAGGTAGATAAGATTATAGACCTTCTAAACCCTTTTATTATATATTTGCAATTTGGTGGTCTTGAGTAGTTGAGTGTTAATGTTATCCCTCTTAATTCTTTTTAATACAAAAGTTTTACTACGTATAAAAAACATTCTTGAGATTGTAACATTACTATTATTCGTTGTGTTGTTATTTTTATTATTATTATTATTATTATTTTTCTATCTATTTTGACAGTGTTTGCCATCTTTAGAGGAGCATGAGTCGTTAACTTTAAATGACAGTGCAGCCACATGATATGCGGTTTGTTTGAATAGTGATACGTCACGCCTAGACACTTTCAGCGCACCACCCCAGCCTATTCCGTTTGATGTACTCTTGGGTTGTCCAAATCTGTAAGATACCTAAGATCCAAGGTTAAGTAATTGATGTGATTATACTCCTTAATGAAACTGTATGCTTAAATATATATATGTTTCGTGACTTGTCTCTTCTTTGATCATGGAAATTTGACTTTGCCTCGTTAAATTCAAGGCCTCTTTCAAGTCTTTTGCCTAAAGAAGAAGATGTTTGTCCCACTTGCCTTGAATTAAGGTATGTGCCCAATCTCGGCAACTAAACTAAATGAATCTCATAATATTGTGGGTTAATTTGCCAAGGAATATTAGTAAGCTGATTAATATTATGTAATTTATTGTATTATCCTGTAATTATTTTATTGGGTTCATTTATTTTTAAATCATTATATAATTACATGAGTGAGCTTGGTCCTAGAACGTCACCCAAATTCTATGTGCTTTTGTCTTTTAAATTAAATTTATGTTTAATTGTCAGTATAATGATACTTATTTATTCATGAGTCATATGAAGTACTCCATCTATTTTAATCATATGCTCTATTATTATTGTTTTCCCCTACATGTTAACCTTAGTTGAAAGTATTGGTTAAAAATCCAAAACACACTGAATATCGTGCTACTAGTGTGCCATTGTTGTACAACTACTGTGCAATACTGTGTAGAGAGGTATTGGATATAATACCTAGAATTTTTTTTGGAAACCACTTACGTAATGTGTAAGGATCTATAGTCAACATTACATTTTAACCTTGGCTGATTAAATTAGTTCATTAAGTTGTTGAAGTAGGTTCTCGTATAAAAGTATACAGAGTAATCAAACGGTGTGTGCATCTGCTCTATGTATGCTATGTTTATGAAAGTGGAACTCAAGATTAAAATATATAAAAATAAATAAATATTAATCCTATACTTTAATGCATTAGCCTTTTTTCGTGTCATTCTCTTTGTTAGGTTGTGAGGCATCATGATAAGGAGTGTGTATGTCAGGCACATCCACACAGGCATCATCAACTTGACTTTCGAAATATATGTACATGTCTGAAAGTTTCTATTTACATGACATTAATCTTGTGTTCATAGCCGCTATGGGAGGATTTTGTTGTGTTGCAAGGAAGCCTCTGCTCTAGGGAACCACCCATGTGTCTCACTATGAGAGTACTCATTTGGGGTATATTTTACTTCATGTGATTCATTTTTAACTCTTAGTCTTAACTTTTCTAATGGTGTTATTTAAGGTAGATAACATTATAGACCTTCTAAACCTTTTGATTCATTATCCCTCTTGATTCTTTTTAGTGCAAAAGTTTTACTACGTATAAAGAATTTGGTTGAGATTGTAACATTACTATTATTCGTTGTATTGTTCTTGTTAATATTGTTATTTTTCTGCCTATTTTGACAGTATTTTCCATCTTTAGAGGAGCAGGAGTCGTTAACTTCAAATGACAATGCAGCCACATGATATCTGGCTGATATGGATAGTGATACGTCACGCCTAGAACTTTCCGTGCAGCGCCCCAACCTATTCCATTTGATGTACTCTTGGGTTGTCCAAGTCCATCAGATACCAAAGGTCCTAGGTTAAGTAAATTATTTGATTATACTCCCTAATGAAACTGTGTGTTTAGATATATATGTTTGTGACTTGTCTCTTCTTTCATCATGGAAATTTGACTTTGCGTGGTTAAATTCAAGGCCTCTTTCAGGTATCTCGCCTCAAGAAGAAGATGTTCATCCCACTTGCCTTGAATTATGGTATGTGCCCAATCTTGGCAACTAAACTAAATGAATCTTAATTTTCCGAGGAATATTAATAAGCTAACTATTAATATTGTGTAATTTAATGTATTATCCTATAATTATTTTATTGGGTTGATTTATTTTTGAATCATTATATAATTACATAAGTGAGCTTCGGTCCTAGAACGTCACCCAAATTCTATATGTTTTGTTTTTTAAGTTAAATTTATGTTTAATTGTCAGTATAACGATACTTATTTATTCACGAGTCATATGAAGTACTACATCTATTTTAATCGTATGCTCTGTTATTATTGTTGTTCCCTACATGTTAACCTTATTTGAAAGTAGGGAAATTGTTCAAAATAGGAGCAAATGAGATTTGGAATTTCAAAATAAGACTAATATATTTTTCTTCCCGAAATAGGAGTTGTTACTATCATGTATGAAAATTATTGAAATGATTGAAAAATATTGCCATTAATTATAATAAATACTGTTAAAAGATTTTCAATTTTTAAAAAGATCAGTTAGAATCTTTTCATCACAGAGCAAACATGAAATCAACAAACAACTTAGTAAGTAGTATACCATTTTCCATCCTGTTCGGTTTCCAGGAAATAACCACCACGACCAAAACAAGATAAAAATTATGAAATAATCGAGCAAAAGTTATTTGGTCAGACAACGAAGTTAGCTGATACACGAGCAAACATCAACCCCAAACATCAAGTAAACAATACAATAAAATAACATATAGGAATATTCTTGAATACAGCAGAATCAGAAAACATTGCTATATCCAGGGACGGATCCAGGATTTCGAGTCAAGGGGGGCGAAAATTTTCGTTAGTGTAGGAGATAAAAAATTCATTAGTGTAGCGGGGTGAATTTTTTTTCTAGTGTAGCGGAGTGAATTTTTTCACTAGTGTAAGGCTCTGCGGCTATTTTTATTCAAAAAAATTCATTAATACATACGTGACGACATTTAAATCTATATATTACATTCTAAGTTTAGACAATGACAAAATAACTTTAATTTTATAATTGGAGTGTTCTAGAAAAAAGTATTGATACATTAAAGCATAAGAAATGACAAATCAATGGAAAATAATACAAAAATAAAAAAAATATATATAACATTTTATTTAAATATAAAGAGTTTATAAGGTTCTCATTCACGAGTACTTTTAAAATAATTTCAACATTATTTAACTACATGAGTCTTATAGAAATAAAGAATTGATTTTTGAATTACAATTTTTGTCTATCATTGAGGGTGTTCATAAGTCACAAGCAGTTCTTTTAATATTACAATAGTATGTATGATATTATTATTTTTAGAATAATATTATATTGATAATTCATATATATAGTGCATATTATATATAGCCTATATCTAACTGTATAGGAATGTTCTTAAATATAGCACATGCAGTATTGGCAGAGAACGGTTGCAATACCGTAGAAGATATACACTAAGTTACTAAATGGGTATAATAACATATGAATGAATGAATGAATAAAGTAAAAGGCGTATCAAATCTCTCCTCCATAGCCGCCAGACCCGAAGAAGACCCTCCTTTGATTGGCTATCTGCTGCCTCTTTTGATGCTCAAACTTGGGACAATCACAAATGCGATGACCAAGACCACCACAGTAGGCGCAGCCTTTGACCCCGCTTGCATTGGTGATGATGGCATCATCAACACCTTCCCCAGGAGTTTCAAGTTCAGCAAGAACTGGAGGAATCCTTTGCTTAGCTTCTTGCAGGAGGCGTTTGAGATCAAGAAGTGTTGTCGGGCTCTGAGTATTGTTTATGAAAGTTGTGGCAAGTCCAGTTTTACCACACCTACCTGTACGCCCGATCCTATGGACGTAGTTCTCAATTTCAGCAGGCATGTCGTAGTTTATCACGTGCTGAATGTCAGGAAAATCCAGCCCTTTTGAGGCAACATCAGTTGCCACCAACACATCCTTCTTCCCTGATTTAAATGATGAAATTGCATGCTCCCTCTCTTCTTGGTCCCTCCCTCCATGAATAGAAACAGCTTCCACTCCTTGCAGTAGCATGTGCTCATATACTTTATCCACATCAGCTTTATTCTCACAAAATATTAAAACCGGAGGGGGCGTTTTCTTCAAACAGTCAGGAAGGTAATTCAACTTTGCCTCCTGCTTCACATACTCTACTTCTTGGACAACATCTAAGTTAGCCGCTCCAGCTCTTCCCACATTCACTGTTATGGGTTTAACCAAAGCACTTCTCGCAAAGTTTTCGATCTCTATAGGCATTGTGGCGGAAAAAAGTAGAGTTTGCCTTTGGAATTTAAAATGATTGAAAACTTCCCTGATGTCATCTTCAAAACCGAGGTCTACTAATCTGTCTGCTTCGTCTAGTGTTAAATATCTGCATGTGAGACAAGCATGGTGGTAAGCAAGTGAAGGTCCAAACTCACAGGAAGTCACAGATACAATAAGCAACATTTGTATGATGAAATTGGTGCAGAGGTTTTAGGTTTCCAACCTAGGAGTAGTTCGTTAATGCTGTGAAAAAAGAAGAATACGCAAACTGAAGGCATTCAAGGGAATTCAAAAGTTTTTAAACTACAATGATGAATAAATGATGTGAGTAATCTATCGATGAAACTAGACATTCGAACAAAGGCTCATGTTTCTGAATTAGGCAATTGATTGAAAGTTTAGAGAAAAAGCTTACTGACATTAACAGTTACTCTGGAAGCACTTTATTGTCGTAATAATTAATACCGAGAATGTAATATGTCGTGGCCAAAGATAAATTTCTAATTATAAAGTTTATGGGTTAATTCCTTCATCATAGCTTCCAAAAGGTTTCATGGAACACTAATCCTAAAACAGAAGCCACAAGGAATTCTTACCTGCAATTGTCAAGGCACATTTTCTTTTTAGCAAGCATATCTTTAAGTCTTCCAGGTGTAGCAACCACAATATGAACTCCTTTGTTCACCACATCTAGCTGGGACTTCATGTCAATTCCTCCAATACATAATAGAGGTCTTATCTCAGGGTACCCAGCCTCCCTTAGAGGCTCTAGAAACTCTTCTATAACTTCATATGTCTGTCGTGCTAGCTCTCTAGAAGGACAAATGATTAATCCAAACGGCCCTTCTCCAGGCAGAATAGGCATCATTATCTCCTCCTGTAGTGCCACCATGATAAGTGGAAGAACGAAAATCAACGTCTTTCCGGAACCTGTAAATGCTATTCCGATCATATCTCTTCCAGACAGAATAACAGGCAATCCTTGTACTTGGATTGGAGTTGGTTGGATGATTCCTTTAGCTTTAAGCTTGTCCAGAATCGGTCCGGGAAACCTCATATCTTTAAATCTTTTAACGGGCGGAGGGATATCATCCCCATCCACAATAATGTGCCACTTTTTACGAATGGTGTCACGGGCTCTTTTTCGCATCCTTCTGATGCCTAATGGGGGCTTCCAACCAGTGAGCATAGGATCTGTGTAAGTAATCCCTCTTGCAAGTTCACGCACTGACATCAGAGTCTTCCTATCAGAGAGATGCTGAATCATTTCTTTCTCTTGCTGAACCATTTGCTCAACCACACTCACCTCTGGCATTTCCTTCTTCAGTTGAGTAGCTTTCACAAGCAAACTTGGTTTTGCCTCAAATTGTTTTGTCTTTTCAGCTTCAGCTTCCTTTTCTGACGGTGCAGATTTCCCCTTCCACTGCAAGATCTTCTGTGCCTCAAGTGCCCTTCGTTTTGCCACAGGAACATACTCATCATAATCATCATCACCCTCAAACTCCTGTAAACCGAAACAAATATGACAAAACTATGCAAGAATAAATAATCATTTAATTTTATGAAAGCATATAACTCAAAAACTTAATTAAGAGCTTGAAAGGATCCAAGTTCCAGTACAAGAATCCCGTTACTCTCTGCTGAACCTTAGCAATCAAGAATAGCAAAATTCAATAGTTCACAAAACTGATCAATTCGTTGCGCTTACCATGTTCATATGGACTGTCATGGGAAAGATAACTAGAGGCAGCTATTCACGGCAATGAGAAGTCTACTAAACCAGTTTTTGTAAGAATTAGAGTATGTGGCCACCTGCATCCATTGAAACCAAGGTTTTAAAAATCAGACTGGCAAATGGCTTTGTTAGGGTACCAATGGGTCACTGTTTGAAGCAATGTATACCAATGGGTCACGGGTTGAAGTGCATGACCCAGTCTTTATTCAAAAAATACATGTAATTTTCATATTACAATACAAATACTGGTTATTATCTTGGTTAGAACATGGAACACAAATTAATTCTTGGGGGATTGTATGCTAATTTAACATAACCAAATTTGATATGCAATATAAGTTCTTGTTTTACAAGGCCTCAGGTGTGCCGAGAGAAATTTTGTACATAAAAGTAACAATAATCAGATAAGGAAGCAAAATGCCAGAAATCTTGAAGGAAGCAAAATAACAGAGTCCAGAAACTTAGGATAAAATGGTCAGTTAACAAAAGAAAGCATGAAGAAGTAAGCTAGAAACAACTTAAAAGCAGAAGAACTAGTAGGCAGAGAGATTAGAGACAGTTAGGGGAAGTTTGAAACAATATACCAACAGAGAGAAGCAGAAAAAAAAACTTATTATTTGCTGAGAGTGATTTCCCATGAAGAAGAAAAGGAGAGTCGTATACGGGTGTATTGTATACAGGAAAGAAGAAGAAAGTTTGTAGTTGTATGGGGTGCACTCTATATGGACTAATGTATTTTTTTAATCTGTGTATTTTTAAGTCTGTATGTCATACTGAATTATTGATTTATTAAAACGAATGATTTTTGAACAAACGACTTCTATTGATTTGAATAAATTCATACACTTTAAATTCATAGATTTTTATGTTCTTACATTATACTACGTATTTGTTTTTGAAAATAAATGATTTTTATTAATTTAATAAATTCATAGACTTTTACATGAATGACATTGACAAGTTTCTTATACTATAAAAGCTATTGCAGCAACTCACAACTGTAGAAAACCCAGCAAAAACCAGTTAAAACACACACAAAATTAAAAATAAAGCAACAAAACAGAAAAACAGTACAATACCCCAATAAAAACTGATAAAAAGCAGTAAAACCAGGGCCGGTTTTGAGGGGGGGGCAAGAGGGGCGACCGCCCTAGGCCCGAAAAAAATAGAAGAAAAAATAGGCCCAAAATTTTTTCTTTATATATACTGTGAGTAGGCTTCTTTTTTATTCTTAAGTTCAATTAATTAGGCCTAATGATTAATTTTGTTGACAAATTGAAAATTTAAAACATAAATAAAGAGTCTTAAACAGGAACAAGTTTAAAACAGATTATATACATTAATTTTTAGCAGGATCGGTTGTAGTTTTTAAAAGCAATACAGTTGTTGCTGCATAAATAAAAGACACGTCTCTCGAGTCCTCACATCTTTTTAACTTTTAATGTTTTTTATTCAATTTAATTATAACATAACAAATTTATATAATTATTTTAAAGCCCGTTTCTCTCAGATTTCACCCCAATTATTCATTTCTTTCCAAATTTCAATAAGCTATATCTGAGTTCCTAATATTAGTTTTAGAGGACATCAAATTTGCAATCTTCTTGCGTGAGTCCTCTTGACAGTCAAACATTTTGTTTCTTTAAAAACCTTCATTCTTTCGAGACTTCAAAGTTTAGACTCTCATCATCGGTTAATAAATCATGCTCAATTATGAATTCAATATGTAGTAATATTTCTTTTCATTTATCCTTTCAACATAAAGTTTATTGTTGTTGTATGTGACAATTTTATTGTTTGTCATATTTATTAGTGGAAAGAAGGTTGCATATGAAGCAATTATTAATGATTTGCTTCACATTGGTCTACGAGAAACGTTTTTAAGTAATGTTTTTTCTTTTTATTCAATACTCGTGTTGTTACTTTTGCCCAAATATGTAATTTATATAATAATAAAGTGATTCTCGTCTTTATTTTATGAACTTCATTGCCCAAATATGATTTATTGTTTGTCATGGATATAGGCCCAAAATAACGTACCGCCCATAGGCCCAAAAATTGACAGGACCGGCCCTGAGTAAAACCAGGCAAACGCAGTAAAATCATTTCATACAAACCAAAATGTAAACAGCAGAAATAAAGCCATGAAATAGAATATAATCCAAAGCCCAATAAAACCTCTACAAAGCTAAGGCAAAGGTTCAAATCAAATGACCCACTGGTTTAATTTACTGAAAGAGTAAAGTGCAATCTTATTTGATATCAATTCAGGAATAAAAAACATTAAGCTTCAAAATCCCTAAAATGTTCCTTATGATCCATGAAGATGCTTTCCTGTACCATTTGTTTGGCCCACCCAGTAATATTTTAGTTCTATCCGTTTAATTTTCCCTTATATGTTCAGCAATTGAGGCGGTGTTGAAGGCTAGAAGAAAGGAAGGGGAAAAATGGTATAAAGTAAAAAGCTTGATTGAGAGCTCTAATCCAGAGTTTGAATGAATCGCAAGGAATATTAAGCCTCCATATGATCCCAAGAGTAAACTGGATATGCAATTATGCACTTATGTCAAGTAAGAAGAACAAAATCGAACGGATACTAATTGGAGCAAAATAATATAGACGCTTTTGTCCCTGATTTATCAACCAACTTTGTGTAATAATTGTGTGATTTTACTTGTCACGTTGAATTGTGTAATAATTTTGTGGAACTTCATAATCATCAAGAAAGAACAGAGAACAAATTCCTTGAAGAAGAAAGCATGTGATATGGATTACTTGAAGAAGAAAAGAACCTGTCTTTTGAAGAAGAGAAGGAAGACGGCTGGCTGCTGGAAATCCCTGGGAGAAAACAGAAACGTTGGCCAAGAAATCTTCGGGTGGGGAAGAAAAAACAATGAGATCGAATCCCTATTTATAGACACACTCGTTTCCTAAATCTAGTCGGTTGCTTACATGAGGCGGCAGACCTAGACAGTTATATGGGGCGCGAGCTTTGCAATTTAAAAAAATTTACTTTTTTTTCATATTAGTGATTACTTAAATTAGTTTTTTTCATATGAGTGTTTTTTTTTTTGTTTTTTACATATTAGTGAATACTTGAATTAGTTTTTTTCATATGAGTGTTTTTTTTGTTTTTTACATATTAGTGATTACTTGAATTAGTTTTTTTTTGTTTTTTTCATATTAGTGATGATTTTTTTTGTTTTTTTTCATATTAGTGATTACTTAAATTAGTTATGCTTTTTATTTAATTGGTTCAAATAATTATCTAAGTGAAAGTTGTGGAAAAATTAAAATTAAAGTTAGTCTGAGTTTAACACTATACTTGCTCATATGTAAAATTAAACATAGTCAATTCATGTAAAAAGCCAAAATTATGTTCACTTTAAATTCTTTAATCATATTCAGAGTGTCTGTTATTATGGAGAATTTTTAATTATTACGAGACTCATTATTTTAACATTATGATAATTATAATAATTTAATAAAAAACAAACTCCACCAAGTCTTCCATGGCAACTGCCGCCACTACGATAACACAAAATTTATGTATCAATAGTGACTTCACCGAAATTAATATGAGTGAGAGACTGAACATGAAAAATTTTTAAATGTCACTTGACATCTAAATCAAGTGAAAAGCAACACTCTTCGTTCTTTAAAAAGTTTCCAGTTATTCAAACTGAATAAGTGGTATATAGAAAGATTATTGGTAATATATAGTAAAAATGAAAGTGGTTGATTTTATAATAGAAAAATACTCCCTCCGTCCCTAAAAGAACTTTCAACTTTCCCTTTCGTTCATCTCAAAAAGAACTTCTCTTTCCCTTTTTTGGTAAAGAATTTGTGGTTCACAGCAATTCTTACACATTTCTCTTTCCTCTACACAACTCTTCACCACATAATTCCCACTTTATTTGTAACACCGACCCCGGACATATTTACTTTTAGTGAATTATGTAATAAACCTTGAAAGATGATTTATGAATTTGCGTAATTTTAAATTTTATTTTTTCTTTTACGTGAATAGTAAATTGCATGCGAGGCCCACAGTGGGAACAGGGACCGCCCGATAATTCCCGAACCACATATTATATTCATCTTGGTCTAGATGACATCTATATGGTGGTGGATATTTTATTTGGGCCATAAGAAAGGCATGGAGTTGACCGGTTGGTCAAACGGGGCCCAATTACCGGTATTGGCAATTTAACGGATAACAGCCCGAAATGAGTTTCGGAGACTCCTAAATTAATGTTGGGGAATGTACATCTATTCTAAAGGCCCATAATTATTGGGAACGCGTGATATATTTTATTTGGTCCGATAAAATAAAATATGATTAAAACGGGTCGAGAAATACAACTTTAGGGGCCGTTTGTACACACCGGGACTTAATGGGATGACCTCCCACATAAGTGGGGGCCACCCCACGTTTTTATGGGTGCTGATTGACCCAAATTAATGGGAAGGGGACATCCAAAGGTGGCATATCCGGACATGTGATTGAGGGGTGGGAGAAGGTTCTTGTACACATCCTAAAGGTCCTACACTCCCTATTATTGAGCTAGTTGTTGGGAAGATATTTCCTCCCTTTCATTTGCACCATACGAGCAGATTAGAGAGATAAGAGGGGGTTGGAAATAGCTCTCAAAAATCTGAAACTCTAGAGGAGGAAGGAGGAATAGCAAACCCAAGAAAAACTAGCAAGAAAGAAAGGTAATAGCTCCACAACTATTCTTCTTCGCTAGTTTTGTTGTATGATTTTTTTAGAAATCCTATGGTGGATTAAATCATGAGTTCTACACGTTTAAAAGTGTAGAATATTGATGTATAGTAATGGTATTTAACTTAGAAGTGTTGGTGAATCGATAGGAGTCGAAATCGCCGGAAACCGCTGAGTATAGCAGGCTGCTCGAACCTGCAGCACACGAACGCCGGGCGACATTTGGCGAAAGCCGGGCGACTTTCAGCTATTGCCCAGAATTCTTGTTTCAATCGGTCAAAAACGGGGATTTATCGAAGGGCTTCGTAAAGGCATCTAGTTGAGCACATCATAAGGTGAGGATGACTGACTATATTGCTTATAATTAGTGAGTTAATTTCATAAGATTGCCTAAAGTAATTAGATGGGATGTTCATGGATTATTAATGATTAATAATGCCTAAATGAAAATGATATTGATATGAGTAAGTGAAGCATGATATACAAATTTAGAATAATTTTGTATGATTATGCGAAATAAATGGAACGGCATATTAATGGAATTACTATGATGACATTGTGATAAAATATACTTTACGCCATGTATGAAATTCATGAACGGAGTAAAGTGATATTTTTGATATTGAGATCAAACTATACTTGTGTTGGGAAATCAATTGAAATGAAAAGTCAATTGGAAAAATAGGAACTTGGCATGTTCTAAAATTATCCAATTAGTATCAAAATACTAGTCGGGGAATTAATATAAACAAATGATGAAACAAATCCTAAGAGATAGGATTGTGAATAGATATGCCTTAAGTAGTCTCAAGAGATACCTTAAGGTTGAATTGTGTGAACACTAAGGTGTGATAGGGGTAGGCCTAAAGGCTACCTACGGAAATTGATTCTAGGCATAGGAATTGCTTGAGAATTTAATTATGAAAATAATTAGAGTTGGACTCTAGGATGACATGGAAATGTAGTTGGGCCGAGCCCATGCCATGTAATATGATTAGCATGGAAACGTAGTTGGGCCGAGCCCTTGCCATGTATATGTGATCTCCGTGGAAACGTAGTTGGGCCGAGCCCTTGCCACGAAGTTATGGTTGGTATGGAAACGTAGTTGGGCCGAGCCCTTACCATACAAATTTTGATATGTCATATTGAGTTAGAGGATTGTATAGAAATGTAGTTGGGACGAGTCCATGCTATACAATTGGGGCTCGATGGGACCCCACGGGGTTATCGTGACTTGCGGTCACGGGGGAATGGAAACGATGAATTCTAAATGAATATGGGCCCACGGGCCGACTACTTGACTCTATATAAAGTAAGTACAGTTAAAAGAAAAAGGGGTAACTGAGGGTTATGGCCTATAACATAATAGTACCCTAAGTTAAGGGTCTTAGAAATTAAAACATCAATTATACTTAGTATAGTTGCTATTGTACTTGTCAAATATTTCCAAGTACTGACCTCCCCTTCACGGGGGAGGCCACCTCACAGTTTCAGGTAGAACTTAAAGGTTGCTGCCACCTCTCGTTGCTTCGGGAAGATCCAAGGAAGAAGACGTGGTTCGTGCTTCTCCCGTTTCTGTTTTGAAAACAACTTAAATAATGCTCATGGATATTGTTTTTTGAATAATTGTTTGGGGGCTTGTACGCCCATGATTGCCAAGGTGTGGCACAAACACTTACGTTAAATGTTTTCGCTACTATAAATGTTTATTTTACATTATGTTTGTTTATGGATGTACTATGTGTGAATGGTATTCAAGACGCCTTGTATAGTATGGATGAGTCGGACTGCGGTTGACTATTCGTACTGTACGGTGGGTTGTTGACGTGTCCGGGTAGGTCCGGGGCGTGACAATTTAATTGGTATCAGAGCCTTAGTCCGTAAACATCATAATGAAGCTTCAAAATTTCTTTTTGAAAATGAATTTGAAAACCATGAGCATAAGGTTTTGTACTTATAGAACTTTTGGTACTTGAGTTGCAATGTCTCTAATTGTTAAGATGGTACCCTTAACAATTGGTATGACGGTGATTTGAGCCAAAGGATGTCTTTAAGTACATATCCGTCAATTGACATTTGATACGAGTTTAATGACTCATTCTCAATTTCTTTCAGAAATGGAACGTACCAGGAAAGTAACTAGAAGGAACCCGACTGGCCGAGCACCGGGAGGATCCGTGCAAGGCAGTAGAGGGGCTTCTAGGGTGTCCAGAGGACAGGGCCGTGGAGGCCAAGATCAGACAGTGAGTGACAGTTATGTTGAAACAGTCAACGAGTCCTATGAGTCCGAGGAGGATTCGACGTATCAACCGGGAACTGAGCCGGTTGAGACCCCGTATGATGGGGAATATGATGACGCTAGTGAGGGGAGCGACGATGATGACGCTCTAGAAAGGATGGAGGAACTACTCCGTCAATTTCAACAGGATCGCCAAAGGCGCCGGGCAAGGCGTGCTTTGGGAGGGGGCTTCAAGAAGGGAAGCCATGCGGGTTCTAGGGGACATGTAGAGTCCCGAGTAGATCGAGGTGTCGAGGTCCCGATAATAAGGATCTCGAAGTACCTCAAGGAAGCAAGAGATTTGGGGTGTAAACCGTTCGATGGAACGGGAGATATATCTGTTGCAGCGGAGTGGATCAAGAGGTTCAATGAAGTGGCCCTTGATATGCAGCTGCCGCCAAACATGAAGATGAGAGTAGCAACGAGGTTGCTAGAAGGGATGGCGTCCACATGGTGGGACGGTGTCAAGGGGAACTACGGTGAGGCCGTAACTTGGGAGAATTTCCGACAGGAATTCTTCAACCAATACTACTCCGACTTCGAGGTGAACTTGAAGAGGAGAGAATACACCAACTTGACCCAAGGAGGCAAGTATACCGTGAGGCAACTTGAGCACAAGTTCAGGGAGCTCGCGGAGTTCATACCGGAGTATGCTTGTGATGAGAACCGAATGGTGAATCACTTTTGGGATGCTTTAGACTTAGACGTGCGTGAACGGGCAACACAATTGCCTAACATGACGTTTAGTCAAGTGGTGGAGCAAGGCCTGAAAGGGAAGAAGGAATGGGAAGAAAGAAAGCTGAAAAACGCCGAGGAGGCGAAGAAGAGGAAATGGGAGAACACCGGCCCCCAAGGTTCTAGCAAGAAGGGGAACCACGGGGGAGGTGGGTCTTTCAGAACGCCCGCACCACCATCTAGGGGAAATCAAGGCCCAGGAGGGCAAGGCTTGAGGT